GCGGCGACGCGGCCAGGCCCAGCAGGGCGAGCGCACGCAGGGCCAGGGAGCGGGGTGCGGGGGCTGCGTCCAGAGCCCCAGGCTCGGGACCTCCCCGCACGCACGGCCCTCCTCCCGGCCGGCCGGCGCAGTGAGGACAGGAGCGGAGAGGGGTCAGAGTCCCGGAGACTGGGCCACACTCGGCCCTCCGGTCCAGCTCCTCCACACCCTCACTTCTAGGAAACAGCCCATTCCTTTCCTCAGCCGCCAACTCAATCCCCTCCAAAAACGTGAAGCTCTTCCTTCGTAGCGCAGATTCAGGGCCCTACCTCCACGGACCAGCAGAGCCCGGCGTGCCTGCGGCGTGGCCACTCAGCACACACACGGGGTGGGGGGCGGGGGCAGCAGAACCCCTGCCCTCGCGGGGCTTCTTCTCAAGTGGGCAAAGAGCTCACAAGTCCTGCACCCCGTGTCTACTAAATGACAGACAGCTGAAGACGCTTACGCAGACGCCAGTGTGCCCCTCAGTGTGCTGAGGTGGTTGTGAGCGCAAACCTGCTGAGGTTCAGGAGGTACCCAGGGAGGGGCCAACAGTGTGAGAGCACTGCTGCTCAGGAGGAGGGAAAAAGGTGGGGGCTTTCCAGCAGCAGAAGGCAGGATACCCTGACATTCCTGGGAGGGCCACAGTGGCCTCCTATGTGCTGTATGGTCCACTCCAAAGCTCACAGGGCTTGCCAAGGGTTAGGGAGCACTAAGAGACTCCTCACTAACAGGAAAAGTAAGGAATGCTGGGAAAGCCAAAGGCAGAGCTCTCACTGTGCTGGGGCCAAGTGTGAGATGCCCTGGACAGGAAAAAGGAGAGTCAATGCGCTAGAAGTCAGGGTAACTCAGGATAACTGGCATGAATGCCATAGCACTTCATGGTGTAACTCTGGGAAGGGAGATCACCCTCTGTCTGAGGCAGAGTGAGGCCAGGCAGCCTGGAAAGCAGTACTATGCTGCCAGGTAACATGGGGCCCAGGCGACCCCCTGGCACCAAGGCAGACTTGAACACCTGTATCTGCATCTGCGCTG